CATCAATCTACCCGTACCCTACCTACCACGCTACCACCCATTCAATCGTAGACAGGATCGCTCCGCCCTCGATTTACATCAAAACTCATTTATTCTTTTATTTTTTTTTATTTTTTTTTTCTAGAATTCATTTGAAAATTTTTGAAAATTCGAAAAAACTTAATCAAGTATCTATTTCGACATATCTTTCCCAAAAATATTTTCTTTTTCAAAATTTTCGAAAATACGTAGGATTAAGCTTTCTTTCTCAGCATCTCTTCTTTGAAATTCGAAAATAATTTTAATTCATTCTATTTTTTTGAAATTTTTGTAATTTGAAATATTCTAGAATTAATTAAATTCGTTTTTCGACATTTCTTCTCCAAAAAATAATTATTTTTTTTAATTTTTAAAATTATGTTTTCCTTCCTCTAACTTCAAAAATAATTTTCATTAATTGTTTTTTGGATTGTTTTTAGAATTAAGTTCTTTTTGTTCGAATTAATGAATTCTTTCTCAACGTTGCTTTTCTTTTCTTCTCTTTTCCGAGACTACTTTTAAATTTTAATACTTTTGGAAACACGTTAGAAATTAGAATTAATTTTTGATATTTCCTTTTCGAAATTCAAAAATAATTTTAATTAATTAAATTTCCTCATATATTTTAATTCACATATTCCTTTTTGCAATTTTTGTTGAAATTTGAGAAATTCATTTTCGCAATTCTTTTTCGGAACTCTTTTAAGAAGTACGGCCTATTTTTTTTTTTTTTTTCGTATGAAATTTTAATCACCCCTTTTCGAAATTATACAATCGTACTCCTTTTAGTCGGAATTAATCACCCCTTTTCGAAATTACACAATTTTACTCCTTTTAATCACCCCTTTTCGAAATTCACGACTAAATTAATCTCTTTTAGTCGGAATTAATCACCCCTTTTCGAAATTATACAATTTTACCCCGAACGCCAATCCGAATAAATTTTGTCAGAATTTATTTTTCTCGGAATTTTTTTTTTTTCTTCATTTGGAAATTCCTGAAAAAGTTCGCTTTCGTATTTTTTTGAAAAATACACTCTCAAATTAATTTTGAATAAATTCAAATTAATTTATTTAAAATTAATTCTTGCTCGCGATTCTCTGGTACCTTCATTGCTAAATCACTTGATGATGCTCTATTCTTGTAAATAGGAATTGTCCCCCCCATCTCCACATGCCACCACACCAAACCAAGACCTCCCAACGCGCCGCCGCCGCCGCCGCTGCCGCTATCACATCCGCTGCTACCACCTCCACTTCCGCTCCGGCTCTCCACTTCCGCTCCGGCTATGTCATCCACCTCCTCTTCCCCCACCATGGCCCAATCTTCCATCAACATGTCTGATCTTCGTTCCGACTCCGTCAACAGCATTGTCGGTGAACTCGAAGGCGATCAGCCAACTTCGACCACCACCACCCTGGAACTCGGAACTATCCTCCAAACGTTGACCGTCCTCAAATCCTTCCTCACCACCACCAACACCACCATGGCCGCCATCTCCGATCGTGTCACCATGCTTGAGGGAAACTCCCCTGCCATCACGGTCGTCACCACGACCACGCCCCCCTCCTCCACACCCCAACCCACCCCCTCCTCTGGACAAGGCTCCGCTTCAACCTCCATACCAACATCGTCCACCTGTACACCCCCACCTTCATCCACCACTACCTCCACCATGGTCGCCCCACCTCCCCCCTCACCCAAGACGACAACCCCTGCCGTCACACAATCATCAATCGCCCCCCCCCAATCAAAAGCGCTCGTATCCACCTCCACTATTACCTCAACCATACCCAACTATAACCAGATGATTCCACAAGTTGCGTATCCCGCTCCTCCTCTACTTCCCCAAAATGCTCTCATCCCCACCAACCACGCCAATGGTTTCACCCTGTTCGACTCTCCCTCTCCCACCCTTGATTTCAATACCCTTGCTACCATTAACCGCAGAGAAGGCAAACCCCCCCCATCATTCCGCATCAACGAAATCCCCACCTTCTCGGGCCAACCCCACGAGGATGTCCTTCTCTTTCTCACCAAACTCCAAGAAGCCTTCTCCCTCCACGGCATCCTTGTCATCCACTGGCTCCTCATCGCTGGCGGGCGACTTGTGGACAACGCTGCTCGTTGGTGGTACACCGAAATGTCTAATCGCCATCACGCCGGTCTCCGGACTCACACCTTCCTTGAGTGGGCCACCCTCATCACCTCCACCTTCCGCCCACAGAAAACGGTCGACGACTATATCGACCAATTTTGTCGGCTCCAACAAACCGGACCAACCAACCGTTTTGTGCAGTACGTCCGCTCGCTTCGTCAACATATCCCCTTTGACGTCGTCAACGATTTCGCTTTCATCTCCCACGTTAAGTGTGTTTGCTGCAAAGACCTGGCGGCCGCCCTTGCCCACGAGCCCCCAATGACGCTCACCGACCTCCTCACTTGTACCCTCGAACTCGACCGCATCCTCTCCCCCTACAAGACCGCACTTACATCGGCCCCTCCACGCCCTCTCTTCTTCCACAACATTGTCTCCGAGGACACCTCCTCCATCACCTCCTCGGACGAGTTCACCTCCCCCGACCTTGACACCCTCTCCAATCCACTAGACACCACATCACTCTCCCCCGACGAACTCTCAGCCATTCATCTCATGGGAATGGAGAAGAGAGATCGCTTCAGCCGCCATTCCCCGATCGACCTCCCGGGCCGCCTCAAGAAACTCACACCCGAGGAAAGAGCCTACCTTTAGGCAAAGGGTGGATGTTTCCGTTGTTGCCAGTTAGGACACCAACAAACTAACTGCCCCAATGTTGGACAGTTCACCCGCCAATCCTCGGCCCCTCGACCTGCGACTTCCGCGTCACCCCCCTCCGCAGACGCGGGTCCCTCCTTGTCCTGAACACAGTCCCCAGGACCTCGTCCCGGCATCAACAACTCGTCTGCCGGCCAACTCGCCGGTGACATCCCCCGTTCCACCGACGGCCCATTTGGCATCGACAATCCGTCTGCCTCGCCCCTCCCCGGTGACACCCTCTCCACTGGATGACCCCAAGGCGTCGCAACCTTCATCACTTGAGACGCCCCCCACTGCTTCGTGTTCCTCCACCCTCCTTCCAAATCCATCCTCTGTCACCTGCTCTGATGTTGTCGAGGAACAACCTCGACTCGATCGGCTTGTCCTGTTAGGCAACGAACACCGTCGCCTCAACACCATTATCACCAACGCCAACTCATCCCGTTTCCACCTCAAATTCATCGCCGCCACCCTTGGTGCGTCTACCACTAAGTTTCGGGCCCTCCTCGACATAGGAGCCACCGGGAACTTCATCACCGACGCGTGTGTCCGGAAAGTCGGTCTTACCTCTACTGGTTACGACTTCCCGATTACGATCCGTCTAGGGGACAAAGACACCGCCGTCATAGTGGACCGCACAGTTCCCGAGACCACCATGACAGTAGGAACCCTCCGCAGTCAGGTCTCATTTGATGTCATGCATTTGATGTGCGACATCGTCTTAGGAACACCGTGGCTGGAACGCTACATGCCATACGCATTCCACCCCAACTTCCTCCGCTTCACCAACCCCCTCGACACAATCATCGACATTCCCTATCTCCCATATCCGACCTCCCAAGGCTCCGTCACCCCGCATCAATTCCTCCACATGGCCCGCATGAACCCCGACTCCGCCTACTATTGCCTTGTCCGTGACCGCGAAAGTCCCGAGGACTTACTCCCAATGGACAAACCCGATCAACCCCCCCCCCTCTGACCCCGCCCTCACCTCTATCCTCGACGAGTTCAAGGACATCTTCCTTGAGTCCCTGCCTGCCGGATTACCTCCGGATCGTGGCATATTCCATACCATCGATTTTGAGCCCGGACATTCTCCACCTTGCCGCCCTCCATACCAACTCTCGGCCCCCGAAGCCGAAGAAATGAAGCGGCAACTCAATGAGCTCCTTGAAAAAGGGTTCATTAAGCCGAGTTGATCTCCCTTCGGTAGTAGCTGCCTTTTTGTAAAGAGAGGTGGAACTTCGGAACTCCTCATGTGCACAGACTACCGCGCCTTGAACCGGATGACGATCAAGAACAAGTACCCCTTACCCCGGATCTCCGAGCTCCTTGATTGACTTCGTGGAGCCAAATATTTCACCAAGATTGACCTCCGTAGTGGCTTCCACGAGATCCGTATCTGCGAGGAGGACACCCATAAGACCACATTCCGCTCTTGGTTCGGGCACTATGAGTTCCACGTAATGCCTTCCAGACTCACCAATGCCCCCGCCACATTCCAGTCCACCATGAATCACATCTTTCGTGACCCCCTTGAAGGTTATGTCTTCGTGTACCTCGATGACATCCTCATCTTTAGCCCCACCTTCGAGTCCCACCTCCAACATATTCGCCAAGTCCTCTCGATCCATATGGACCCCTCGAAGGTCTCGCCCTCATCGAGTACCCCCCGCCCAAGACCCTCCTACAACTCCGTTCCTTCCTCGGCCTTGGCAACTATTACTGCTCGATCATTTGCAACTTTTCCGAGATCTCTTACCCTGTCCACGAACTCACCCGCAAGGACGAGCCCTTCAATTGGAACGATCACCGCCAACACGCTTTCGACTTACTCAAGCAAACCATCACCGCGGCCCCTGTCCTCAAGATTGCCAACCCCACTCGCCATTTCTATGTCACCACTGACGCCTCCGACTTCGCCATTGGAGCCGTACTATCCCAACATCTCCCCCGCGACACCGCTGAGACCCCCTCCATCAAGGACTCGCCCACTCACCCCGAGGCTCCACCCGACGAATACCCCATCGCCTTCGCAAGCAAGAAGCTCCTTCCCGCGGAGATGAATTACCCCTCCAACGAGAAGGAACTCCTCGCTGTGATTCACGCCCTCACAGTCTGGCGCTTGTACCTCGATGGGCAATACTTCACCATCCGCACTGACAACACCATCGTCTCCTCCATCCTCTCCAAGAAAGATATCACTCCACGCCAAGTCCGCTGGCTAGACTTCCTTGCCGAGTTCACATTCACCATTTGCTATACCCCCGGCAAAAGCAACCGCGTTGCGGATGCCCTCTCTCGACGACCCGACCACAAGCCCCCCGAGAAAGTCTATGCCGCCATGACTCATATCCAACTCTTCCCATCACTCCATCACCGATACACCCAAGGCTGCCTCTCTTGCCCAGACTTAGCCACCATCTACAACAAGCTCCGCGATCTTGACCCAGTCCCCGACTGCTCCCTTCACGACAACCTTCTCTACATCGATACCAAAGGCACTCGTCGACTTTGCATCCCCGACGCACGTGGTCTCCATACTCAACTCTTGGCCGAGCACCACGACTCCAAGACCGCATGATACCGCGGTTTCCAGAAAACCTTCGACACCCCGCTCATCGGCGTCAAAGCATCCATTCGCTCATGCCCCACATGTCAAGTTCTCAACCCCTCGCACCGGGCCAAACCTGGCAAGCTCCAATCATTGCCCATCCCAACTCACTGGTGGCAGTCCATCTCCATGGACTTCGTGTGTGGCCTCCCCAAGACCGACCGCGGGCATGATTGCATCTACGTTATTGTCTGCCGCTTGACCAAACGTGCCCACTTCATCCCTTGCACGACTTCGCACAGTGCCAAAGACGTCGCCACCCTCTTCTTTGATCATGTCACACACCATCACGACCTCCCCGAGAACATCATCAGTGACCGTGATCCCCGCTTCCTCTCACAATTATGGAAACACCTCTTCAAAGCATATGGAACCACGCTCAAGTATAGCACTGCATTCCACCCCAGGCCGATGGACAAACCGAGAAGATGAATGATACTCTCAAAAGAATCATGCGGAAGTATTGTTATCCACACCAACACGACTAGGACCAGTTGCTCACAGCCGCCGAGATCGCCTATAACAACACCCTCTACCCTTCCACTGACATGCCCCTGTTCTACCTTCGACCTTGGCTACCATCCTCGCTTGCCCTCCGACTTCCTGCTTCCCTCGCAGCTCAACCCCTCCACACCCTGCCCTTCTCTCAATGAATGGGTAGCAACAATGAATCGACTCCTCAGAGAAGCAACCGAAGCCCTTGAAAGAACACAAGAACAACAAGCCAACAAGACTAACAAACACAGACGTAACGTGTCATTCAAAGTTGGGGACAAAGTCTGGCTTTCCACCAAACACTTTGAACCCAAACACGGCTTGTCCAAGAAACTCTAAAACAAGTGGCTCAGACCCTTCCTCATCCTTGAACAAACCTCCCCCATCAACAACAAACTCCAACTCCCCCCTGACATGAGTCGTGTCCACCCTGGCTTCCACGTAAAATACCTAAAAGAATACCATGAATCCCCACCCCAATTCGCTGACCGCCCATATCCTAGACCTCCACCGATCATGTTACCCAGAGGCCTTGAATTCATAGTCGAAGCCATCATAGGACGTAGAACCACTCAGGTATCTGACCACCCTGAACCAATCACAGAATACAAAATTAAATGGATAGGATACCCTGACGAAGAATCAACATGGGAACCTCTTGCTAACCTTAAGAATGCCATGAAACTTGTTCGCGCCTATGACCTCAACACCAGATCCGAGTACCGGACACATCCTGCTACTGGGACATTCAAGCTGAAGTTCTCGTCGTCAACATCACAGACCTGTTGAAGACTGCTTTCTCACCAACACTTTTGCGACACCTTTCAAGACCTGTTCTCAAGACATCTACATGGACTGCAACACATAACTTCCAACCTGTACCACTAAATCCCCGACCCTTAACAACCCCGCCCCGTACATCGCAAGCCAAATTTCCTTTTTTTCTTTTGAGGACCACATAACCTGTTTTGCCTTGAACCTCCTAGTTCATCAATAGAAATACCTTGTTTCCCCGTTGTTTCCAACCCCTTAGTTCATCAGTAGGATTACCCTGTTCCTTGTGCTTCCCATCCCCCTTGGCACTTCAGTAGAACTACCCTGCAAAACCCCTTAGCTCGTTGGTAGGATTACCCTGTTCCCCGTGCTTCCCAGCCCCCTTAGCACATCAGTAGAAATACCCAGCAAAACCCCTTAGCTCGCTGATAGGATAACCCTGTTCCCTCTTACTTCCCGACCCAGGCCACCCACATTATACCCCTCTTCCTTTTGACTTGTTGACCAATGATCGGCCCCGTCCCATCCTTCACAGACTTCAACATTGTTTCATGGCTTTTGGCAGCCGGGTCGTTGCCTTCTAAAGGGAGGGGATAGTGTTACGGACTCAGCCAGGGCTCGATCCCTGGTCCGCGGGGTACCACCCGCCAGCCTGTTATTTCCTGCTCTTCGATTTCTGACTGTTGGTGCCCTCTGCGGTTGGCGCCCGTTTTCAAATCCCTCCTTTGGCACTTTCGGATTTCGACACTTGGCGCCATCCGACATTCTGGCGCCCAGACTCAGACTTTTGATTCCCAGTTGAGTCCTGAGGCAATGGCACTTCTGCCCTCGGGACTGAACTTGAGTCCGGTACTTAAGACCGGACTCAAGCCCAGTACGGGCATTCAGTTTTCAGCCTCAGTGCTTGTGCTTCAGTGTGACTTGCTTTGACATTGTGTTCGGGAATTGAAGACCGCGACTTTGCGACTTCGCCACTTCGTGTATGCGCCCGTCGAGTCTTGTCGAGTCTGCGCTGAGTTGAGTGAGTGTGTATGTGTGCTCTCACCCTCTCCTCTCTCTCCCTCAGCCTCGCTACTCTGCCTCTGCCTCTGCCTCGTCACATATGTGGAGTGGGAGTTTTTATCTTGCGCGCGCACTCGTCTCCACGCCGTCTAGAGGTAAGGACAGTTGCTACCCCTACCGGTGGTTGCCTTTTGCTGCCTCAGAATGCAGCTTGCCGGGCACCTCTGTACTTCGGGCAAAATTTGATGATATGCCCGAGGTCATCGCAAAACACACATTGGAACCTGTCTATCCTGTTCTGCCAATCAGTTTGTTCGATGCCCAACGTTTCCTAGGGCCAGCCCTTAGACTGACAAGGGTGCCAACCAACCCCTCTGGAAGGTGATCGATCAGAACGAGGACGGTTAGACGGGGGACCTTCACCCTTGCCTCCCACTTGCCGGTTTCCTATGCCGCCAACCCCCTACCCGCCATGTCCTCGACCACCAGATGCCTGGCCGTGTCGGCCTTGGCCTCTTCCACCTCCTTGCGACCTCCCTTCGACGCGACAACAATGTAGGTACTCCTCTGACCTGCGCTTCTGTCTATTTCATCAAGGCCCCACTCTATATCGCTATAAGGGACCTCTTCCAGACCACCCTCTTCCATGGCAAGGATAAGACTCTCCTTGGCCTTAACTTGGCCTAAGATGGTCTGGCCCTTCCACTTTTTGCCCTTGGCCAGGTCCTTGTGCCAGAAAGTGGTTATTGACG